TATATATATATATATATATATATATATATATATATATATATATATATATATATATATATATATATATATATATATATATATATATATATATATATATATATATATATATATATATATATATATATATATATATATATATATATATATATATATATATATATATATATATATATATATATATATATAAATATAAAGAGCAAATAAGAGCCAGATGCGAATTTACCTCGTGAATAATCTATTTCGTTTAATCAAAATTAACGAAAAATGAACGCTTCGATGTTTAAGATTATTTCTAGCATCACTTGGGGGATATATGTCTAATAATATATTGATATGTTTAATTTTGTATATAGACCTGTGTGTGTTTTCTGTCACCAACGACTCTCATGATTCGAGTGAAACACATCAGATCGGTTATCAGCTATTCGTTTTTGCTACTATAAATTTTGATTAGTTTTATTCATCGTTGTACGATCATAAGACGATCATAGAATGGTTCGAAATATTCGTGTATCATTAAATGAAATAGATTATTTACGACGCAAATATTAGTATTTATTTATATAAAAATGTAAGAGGTAAGTAACGCGCGTGTAAACGATTAATATATTCCAATTATATCATCACATATTTACAATAAAAAAAAAAAAAATAAAATAAAAGGGGTATTGCAAGGATTTATAAAATAAAAAATAGGAAACAAAATAGATATAATATAAATTTGGCAATTATAATATAAGGTAAAAAAAAAGAATTTGGAATTTGTTTGTTCTTAAATAAGGCAGAAAATAAAGAGTAGATAAGCAATATAATAAAGTCTATTATATAATAAATATTAAAAGATATTGATATAGGTAAGACAAACCAAAATAAAATAGTAGAAAAAAGATAGTAAGGCAAAAATAAGAAATAGAAATTTAATTGCTATATATGGTAAGAGAAAAGAAGTTTAAGGACAAAAAAAAAAAATCTAAATTGTTTATATTAATCGAAAAAAGAAGATCAACAACCAGATAAAAAAAAGTAATTTGACAAAAGTTTTACACACATATATAATATCATATTACTTACTGCCAAATTAAATATCGGTGGACACTCTTCCAAAACACTTTCTTAGTAATCACATGTTGCAGCATGCGCAATATTAAAGGTGCTACAATTCATATTATATGTAAGAGTAATTTATGTACATGGTTTAAATAGATTTAAACAATTTATATATATATAAATTGCAATGTCTATAAATTTTAGTTGTATGGTCTAAATAGACTTAAACAATATTAAGTATATAAATTGCAATGTCTATAAATTTGTAATTTTTGATAAATAAAAATAATTGCATATAAATACAGATTAATTTTTAATTATAATATATTATTTTTCTCTTACACTATCAGAGCAAAATTAATATATTATTAAATTGCAGATAACAGTAGTATTATTTCTGTTAATCCTTTCTATTTTTTTATAACTTTCACGTTTCAAAATTTATAAACAATTGTTTAATTATATTTACTGATTTTTACCTTTAATATAACGGGAATAAGAGGAAAGCGAATTAATTTCAGGAGGACTACTGGTTTCTTTCATAAGAGGCTGTGTGAGGTTATAATCATCCAATTGGAGAGATTCATATTGAGTTTGAACTATGAGTAAATCCAATAACTCCGAATTTGTGTAATGCTAAAGAGAAATGTTTTAATATTGTAATAATCAAGTAAATATTTAGTTATCTAAAGAAATAATAGAAGAAATATTCACATTAATAGAATGCATTAATACTATTCCTTGTTCTATTGCTGAAATTATTATAATTTCAATATGTGTTATTTTTTAACTAAATTTCTATTTTTACTGCAGAATTTATAACAATTTAAAAATGCTGAACAATCAGCACACAGTAGTTCTTTAAGATATGAAAAAGATTTATAACAGCTTAAGCAGCTTGTACATTTTTAAATTGTAAATATATAGTTTGAAAGCTTTTTATATTATTATGATATCTAGCATTTCATTTAATTGCATAAATTCAGCATCAAAGATATATATTAAGAATACATAATAACCTCGAGAGCATTGACGGCATTCACAGCTTCCATTTCAAACAATGTAGTAAGACCATCGCTTATCCATAAATCAGTCCACCAAGTAGGAATAATTAAATGACTGAACCATTGATATGCTATTCCACGCGCTATCGACCTTGCCGCTTCTATTTTATGTGCAACAGAATGTAGATTTTCATCGTAAATAATATTTGTTTCTCTAAAAAGACAAGAATCAAATTTATAAGACTTAAAAAATAAATCTAAGATTGTTTATATAATAATAATCTTAACGTTTCTCCTGATGTAAAAATAGCAATGTTTTCTGAATCTAATATAAATGATATAAAATAAGAATTATTGTACAGACTAATTATGCAATGTGATATACTATACATGTTTTATATATACATATATGGTTATTTACTAAGAAATCATTTTATATTTTAACATAAAAATATATGCAGTATATTCTAAATTTAGAATATGTATTGGAGTGCGTATTTCTAATTTTGATTAATAAAATTGTTTTTCAATGGATTATTTGTTTCTAATTTTTCTGTTACCTTATTGTGACGAGACCGAAGTTCATATTAATATCATTTTGAAAACCTGGAATTGCGACAAGTTGCAGGTTCGGAATCTTTACCTTCAACTTCTTAAGAGACTTAAACCATTCAAATTTCAACTTCATTATGACTTTGTTTGAAACTCTTTCCGCAAATTGTATATCGTCTGAATATGGATTGCGCCAGATATAGATATTATCTTTGCCATAATTGGGAAAGAAATGCATTGATGAAATCATAACCATCACGAGATGAGCAGGTATAGAAGGAGTAGTGTCGAAGTACGTCCATTGCATACATGTTTCTGTATTATTTAATTTGTATTTGAGTATTTCTTTTATCGGCATATTTGAGAAAACTGAATAACTGCAATAATGCTTTATGGAAACGTTGAAAGTGGATCTTACTGTCGGATTGTCCCAACATGGGAACAATCGTTGAACCTCAACCATCGGGAAATGTGTTTTGTCCCATGATCTACGATATTTTAATGCTATTAATTCAAATAACGATCAACTTTTAATTATTGGTGATATGAAAACAATCGCTAACATATATCAATGATACGTCAAAAAGTATTATACCATGTATGTACTATTTAATAACGGAAATAATAGAATGAAACAAACATGTCTTGTAAAAAGCAGTAATAATGTTTAATAAGTGTGCTTTTAATATATTAACATTTACTTACATTACATTTTCTGATTTTTTTATATATGTTGTTTTTAAGAAAATATTATCGTCTCCTGAGATATTAATTGCATTAAGAAATTTTATATTCGCTGTATAATTTCCACGTGATAATTCTTCTTTGAAATGAAGATCGCAAGTTTGCGTTATATTATTATATTCAATTTTCTCCGCTAAATAATGATAATAGTCTTCTGGCCTAATATTAACAGCACTTTTTTGAGTCAACTCTCCAGATAAAAGGCGAATTGAATTCGATGAACTTAATCTTAGTTTTGTAGTTGGTTGGAAGATATGAATAATGGCAGTAATTTCGCCGTAGAAGACAAATCTATCGTTTGCTTGATACTCTTCTATATCTGTTTTGAACGTTATGTATATGTCATCTCTTTCTTTGTCTTCTTTGAAATATGGTATTAGCTTGACGTCGTAATCCTTTGATTTTACATAATCCGTATAGTCTTTAACTTTGTTTGTAATCGATTTATCAATGATATCTTCTCTATTTTCATCAACAGAAAGTGCTGTTGCGGTGATAAATATGACAACGCCATAAAGTAACAGTCTTAGAAACATCATATCACTTTCTTTAAGTACCTGCGATAACTTTCTTTGTTGAAAAAAAAGACAAATATAAAATGAAATTTAGGCAATGAAATTTACAGCAAACAAATCTATAAAATATCAACTTTCTCGAGAAAAAGAATTAGTTTCCTTAAGTAATTTTATACGATTAATATTTATGTGATAGATGACAACCTATGTTTATCAACATGTTATTTTCAAGATTTGTTGTTTCATTTTTTAGATAGATATATCCTTAGTGAATTAGTCACACAGAACCAACCAACGGAAAATTTAATTTCTTTCAATTTTTTTTGATATTTGTATGTCTTCAGATATATAACAAACTTGATCGAACATGATACGGTTCTATTAATATGTGTTATATATCATATATATTTTTTTAACAACGAAAAAATAGACATTTAAGTATCGTTTGTTCGTTATTCATTTGAATAAGTATATCGTATCAGCAATCGAATTTAAAAAAACCTTGCACACAAATTATTGATTTCATATCGTTACGAAAAAATATATGGAATAATTTAAACGTGTACATGATAATAAACATTGTAATTTCTAACATTGTAATATATTATCCAATTTTCTATTATTTATTTAAAAATGAGCAGATTAAATATAATCTTAAATATTAAAAAATTCTTTGCTTAATCACAATTTTGATTTCAAGGACATTTCGCAACATTATTATAATAAATAAAATTAAACTTCTTGTTAGGTGTATAGAATTTAGAAAAACATGTAATTCTGTTAAATAGAAAAACTATAAAAAGTACAAATGAAATAAAAAATCGTTAATAAAATGTCGGCAATTTTGGAAAAAAGATAATTTTAAGAAAATTAAGATGTGCTCATCGCGTTGATACCTTATTATTAATTGCGTTTTACATATCTTCTATGTATTCTTAAGAAGAGGGATATATAATTTACTGTTTTTAGCGACTTACCTTATATATTAAAAATCTGTGCCAATTATAATATAATTCCTTTTTTCTTAGAAGAATTAATTACAGTTGTTTCATGAGCGTTAATATTGTTATATCTTAACCACCCTTATATCTCTACTATGGAAATCTTATCGCTTCGAGAGATAATCGAGAACTAAGAATGTCGATGTGACACACATCATAATAAAGGCTAAATATATAAGGCTGCCTTAGAATGTCGATGCGCAAAGAATCTAAAATAAAAGTTACGCAATATAGATGATTTTACGAAAATTACGGTATCAATGTATATAATTTCGCTAGAAGGATTTTCTACGGACTTTTATAATTCTATTTTCGAATTTTTATTTTTATTTCTCTCTAACATCATGTTGTACTAAACACTAAATGATATTATGCAAGTCAGTAAGTCGTGATTATTTACCATTATGGTGTTATTAAATTGTGAATTTTGACTTAGTTTTAATATATTGCACTGCACTTTTTTTTATAGTAAATATATCATGATAAGTTAAAATATTTATGAAAAAATTGATAATTTTGTATTCAATCTTTTAAAGTTAAAATATTTTATATTACCTTTCTTCCGCGGCACATACATTTTTAATAAAAAGCTTTTTATTTATTAAAAATGCAATAAATATATGTATATTATTTGAAGACGTTTTAAAGTGCATGTTTTGTTAAGCTTTAAAAAATGCGTAATAAATAGATATTAATGAATATTAATTAATATTAAATCCAGGCAAGATATAAATTCTTAATAAAAATTTAGTAGAATATAAAATGGATTTTATAATATTTTCTGTTATAATCCATGCTAAAATTAAAAAAATTGCGTGAAATATTAACAAAGATTCATAAATAATACTAATTCTTTTTAATTTGTTAAAATCAACATTAAATATTTAATAGATTGTCGCAAACAAAAATATTAGCAATCCATCATATACAGGTTTGCTTCTTTTTAATTAAGTTAAACTATCTATAGATTTATAGTATGTGATAATATTTAGTATATGTTATAGTTTCTCGTCAAATTATATGCATTAAAAGTTCACAGTGCGTGAAAATATTTTTTTAATCATGCTTTTATTTTTAATATATTGTTTTTCAAATTAAAGTCAATTCATGTCACGCAAATTTTAGAGATGTTACGAGCCCTTTCAGTCTCTTTCTAATTTTACATGTAAGTTCATTCCTAATTCTTCCAACAATATATTGTACATATTATATTGCTCTTCGTAAAGCTGTAACGTTTATTCTCTCTCATGCGTGCGTTACATCGTATTGTCCTAGTTGTATGGCGTTCCTAATTACAAAGAACACTTTCATTAACTTTTGCTCGCAAAAAGGAATTTTCATATTCAGCCGCTTTCGCCCTATGGATTATAAAGCGCAAAAATTCTGCAGAGAAATTTATAACAACAAAATTGCCATAAAGATATTTGCGTCCAATACATACGTAAATTTTTTTATTGTCGGTAAAAAATAAATCAAGAATAAACATGATTGCTCATTGCACAAGCAGATAAGATGCGATGATTTAAATACTGATAGTGACGTCTTACAACGTTAAAAAGATTCTTAGTTTAATACAGTAAAATTATTGCAACAAATATATATAAAGGAAATAAATCTTTACTATAAAATATTAAATTCACTGCCAATGATACTGACATTATTATCATGGAGTATTCTTTTATATCTAATTACGTTTCGTAATATGAAGTTTTGAATTGAATAAATTTGTTGTATGAAAAGATGTTTTATAACAAATTACATATGATTGATTTTTATACGATAAGATTTAGGCTTGCTATGTGTTATATTATTGAGAAATTTGTGTTACGACAGGAATAAAAATTATTGTGTGCAACATAGCAAAAGAGTTTTTACATTGCATTTATCATCAAAAGATTAAAAAATTTTCTTTACTATCGATAAATAATAACACCATCTATGATATTTGTTAATTTGTAAATTTCATCATATATGTATTTCCACTACGTACATATTTATTCGCTATAATAAAACATATTTATATACAAGAACACATACACACATACACGTCGATTCTAAAAGTATTAATGTAAATTATTATTATTATTATAAAAATTTATCTTCTCTTTTTTATCAATTTTTACAAAAAACACTAAAAAATCGTCAGAGAATTTTATTTACGAGATATATATGTAATATAACAAAAAATATAAAAAGATAAAATATAGTAATCATAAAAAGAAATAATAAAATTTAATACTTGTTTAATAATTGTGATATGATTATATGGCTAAAATTATATTTTTATAGCCCTACGTTCTGTTATTAAGGTTACTAAAATGTGATATTTTTTATGTCAATATTTTTTATTAATCTTATAACTATTTATATTTATTATTATGTTAACATATTTAAAGTAAAATTATCAATAAATAATAAAGTAATTTAATAATTCATTACTTTAACAATTTATTAATTTATTATTATTAAGGTTATTTATTATTTATTGCTAATAATAATATTAAATATAATGTTTAACAAATGTTTAATACTGTTAAATTATGACAAAGTTAAATATTGTTAAAAAGTATGAGCAAAAAATAATTAAAAATAAATAAGATATATAGATAATAAAAAATAGAAGAAGATAAATATAAACCGTTGTTCATAACAGTTTGTACATAACCATATCTATCCACATATGTATACAATTATTATTATTCATTGATTTTTAATTGTAATTAATTATTCAAGCTTGACTTCCTCTGATTATAAAAATTTTCGAATATATTCTTTATGTTTTTCGATTTCAGACAATCGTATTTCTAGTTTCCTTTCAACACACCATCTCCAATGATCCAGCAGATTTTTAGACGCTCTTAAACTTGCTTTATTAGTTGCCTAAATCAATATATTTTTTTATTAATAAATAATCTCACCTTAAAAGCTTAAGGATAATATTATATTTGTCGTACGACAAACTTTTTAAGCATCCTGATTGGCAGCAAAATAGAAAATTTCTCGAGTCTCTAGAAATTAGCTAATCAATGCACTTAAAAAATTTGTTATACGACAAATATAGTATCGGCCTAACATGATATATGTTATTGTTTCTAACATAATTAGAGAATAAAATATTATTTGTATAAGACGTAAAAAATATAAATAAAATTAGTAATAAGAATAAAAAAATTTAAATATAAATAAATATAATATTTGTATAACGTGACATACTCTTACCTCGTCAGTTTTGTTTTTATTGGATATAATTTCAGTAATGCGAAGATATGCTTTGTTTCCCATAATAATATCAAAGGTACGTTTGATCTAAAACAGATTATTTCGACATTTATTGTTAATAAATAGTAATTTAATTTAGCATTACAAATATAGTGGTACAAAATTATTCCTTCTACCTCCCTCGGCATGATTAAAATAAAATATTGTATATATAAATATATATATATAAGTATTTTATTTTCGAGAGAAGACCTCTTAACATGTAGTTTAACTTGTTCTGAAATATTATATTAATTTCTTATTAATTGCAAAAGCTTGCGTATATATTATGATGTACATGCAAATATATGAATTAATTTGTGTTTAATTCATTAAATTATATATAATAGGCTTACAAAACTGACGATATTTTCTTGTATATCATTTACATATCTTACATTATTATAAATTATAAAGTATATAAACTGTATAAATACTATTATAAATAAGTATTTTTTCTTTTTTTAACATAT